AGTAGAAGTAGTAATAGTAGTAATGGTAGTAATAGTAGTAATAGTAGTAATAGTAGTAATAGTAGTAATAGTAGTAATAGTAGTAATAGTAGTAGTAGCAGTAGTAGTAGTAGGAGGAGGAGGAGGAGTAGAAGTAGTAATAGTAGTAATAGTAATAGTAGAAGTAGCAATGATAAGAGCTGAGGTGGATGGATGGATGGATGGATGGATGGATGGATGGATGGATGCTAGGCAAGTGCTGCCTTTTTGGTGTTTCTGACCTGTTTCTGACCTGTTTTCAATTGGAGCTAGCTTGAATGTCCTTCTGACCTGAAAACATCTGCGCGGATTCCGCGCGCGCGGATTCCGCGCGTGCGGAATCCGCGCGGCCATGTCAATTATTGGCATGGTTCTGGTCTCGAAAGTAGTAGTAGTAGTAGTAGTAGTAGTAGTAGTAGTAGTAGTAGTAGTAGTAGTCGTAGTCGTAGTAGTCGTAGTAGTCGTAGTAGTCGTAGTAGTAGTAGTAGTAGCAGTAGTAGTCGTAGTCGTACTAGTAGTAGTAGTAGTAGTAGTAGTAGTCGTAGTAGTCGTAGTAGTCGTAGTAGTCGTAGTAGTTGTAGTAGTAGTAGTAGTACTAGTAGTACTAGTAGTACTAGTAGTACTAGTAATACTAGTAGTACTAGTAGTACTAGCAGTACTAGTAGTAAAAGTAGTACGAGTAGTAGTAGTAGTAATAGTAGTAGTAGTAGTAGCAGGAGTAGTAGTAGTAGTAGTAGTATTAGTAGCAATGATAAGAGCTGAGGTGGATGGATGGATGGATGGATGGATGGGATGCTAGGCAAGTGCTGTTTCTGACTTGTTTCTGACCTGTTTTCAATTGGAGCTAGCTTGAATGTCCTTCTGACCTGAAAACATCTGCGCGGATTCCGCGCGCGCGGAATCCGCGCGGCCATGTCAATTATTGGCATGGTTCTGGTCTCGAAAAAAGTAGTAGTAGTAGTAGTAGTAGTAGTAGTAGTAGTAGTATAGTAGTAGTAGTAGTAGCAGTAGTAGTAGTAGTCGTACTCGTACTAGTAGTAGTAGTAGTAGTAGTAGTCGTAGTAATCGTAGTAGTCGTAGTAGTAGTAGTAGTGGTAGCGGTAGCGGTAGTGGTAGTAGTAGAAGTAGTAATAGTAGTAATAGTAGTAATAGTAGTAATAGTAGTAATAGTAGTAATAGTTGTAATAGTAGTAATAGTGGTAATAGTAGTAATAGTAGTAATAGTAGTAATAGTAGTAATAGTAGTAATAGTAGTAATAGTAGTAATAGTAGTAATAGTAGTAATAGTAGTAATAATAGTAAAAGTAATAGTAGAAGTAGCAATGATAAGAGCTGAGGTGGATGGATGGATGGATGGATGGATGGATGGATGGATGGATGGGGATGCTAGGCATGTGCTGCCTTTTTGGTGTTTCTGACCTGTTTCTGACCTGTTTCTGACCTTTCCCGGAGTCTTCTTCAACTTCAAAAAAATCAGCACGGGCAGTCAAACTAGGAACAATTTTAGTGATCGTCAAAGTAATATCATTACTAGTGCCCCAAATACTAGTACTAGTGCTAGTAGTAGTAGTAGTAGTAGTAGTAGTAGTAGTAGTAGTAGTAGTAGTAGTAATAGTAGTAGTAGTAGCAGGAGGAGGAGTAGTAGGAGTAGTTATAGTAGTAATAGTAGTAATAGTAGTAGTAGTAATAGTAGCAATGATAAGAGCTGAGGTGGATGGATGGATGGATGGATGGATGGATGGGATGCTGGCAAGTGCTGCCTTTTTGGTGTTTCTGACCTGTTTCTGACCTGTTTCTGACCTGTTTTCAATTGGAGCTAGCTTGAATGTCCTTCTGACCTGAAAACATCTGCGCGGATTCCGCGCGCGCGGAATCCGCGCTGCCATGTCAATTATTGGCATGGTTCTGGTCTCGAAAGTAGTAGTAGTAGTAGTAGTAGTAGTAGTAGTAGTAGTAGTCGTAGTCGTACTCGTACTGGTAGTAGTAGTAGTAGTAGTAGTAGTAGTCGTAGTAGTCGTAGTAGTCGTAGTAGTCGTAGTAGTCGTAGTAGTCGTAGTAGTCGTAGTAGTAGTAGTAGTAGTGGTAGTAGTAGTAGTACTAGCAGTACTAGCAGTACTAGTAGTAAAAGTAGTAGTAGTAGTAGTAGTAGTACTAGTAGTAGTAGTAGTAGTAGTACTAGTAGTAGTAGTAGTAGTAATAGGGTGGTAGCCGTATAACCAATCGCCAACCAATCGCTCAGCCTATCGCTATGCAGGTTTTAGCAATCGCGCAAAGCAAAGTAAACGCATCAATTCATAAATTTGTGACCTGCTTTTACGGACGGCTCCCATGTAGCATTTGCCCAACAAAATGATGACCATGGAATCCTGCTAGATCGAATTCACCCAATTCACTCCCGGAACTCTGGAACGTTACCAGCAGAATATCAGGGGCTGGTTGAGCCAAACCAAAAGCACTCCGGATTTCCGCCTGCAGGGACTCTAAACGACCTGTGCTTTTTTGACATAGAGAGGCATGGTATCATTTGTATGAGCGGAGATCTTTACATACTTTGTCTATGTGACAGTGCAGAAAAATAATGGTGTATAGTGTGTATATATATATAAGGGTATTATACGCGTTATACATATGTATACATAAATTTTAAACACAACACGTATGCATACTGCATACCGTGTATGTTGTACTCAATGTATATTGTATGTTGCATATAGAAAGAATGTTTGACCCAACTCACATTGGAATT